TGCGAGAAGGGGTCTGGTCCCCTCGGGCCCGGAGCAGGCCGGAGGCTTCCCCCAGCCCGGGAATGGTCTGCCCTGTAGGAAACGCACACTCCACTATTGTCTCATCAGCACAAAGTTCTGCCACACTGCGGGGACAGTCTGGAGGCTCGCAGTGACTCAGACACAGCTGGTTCCTCCCCTACTAGCACCGAACCGCGATCCCAGCGGCCGGTGGTCACCCCTAGTCAAGGTCTAAGGCTGCGGCAGCTCCGGCTCCCGGAGGCCGTGTCCGCGCGCACACGCACATCCATACGTGCAGACGTACTCGGGATGCGGGTCCCGCCGGCGGGCACCTGGGCACTGCGCCCCGCCCTGACGGAGACGGGGACACCCTTTCGGGGGTCCCAGGTGCGTGTGCATGACACACGGCGTGGCGTGTGCGTTTCACCCAACTTCCTGGTAGACGCCTCTGGGGGTGTTCGGATGCTGGGTCAATACATTAAGTCCTGAATCGAGGGTCACAGAGGTCCTGCTGGAAGGACTTTCAACAGCGGCTCTGCCACATGGTCATTTAAAAATGAAGGGGCTGTTTACTGGCAGCCTTGAAAGTTCAACTCTTATTTTTCCGTTCTTAAAACTTCATTTCTTCACCTCGCCTGCTCCCCACGGGCAGTAGTTAGTTGTCGTAAGTTGGGTCTGGGACTAGAAATCCTAATGTGACTCCAAATGTTCTCCTGGTACAGGGCGGGGGAGGGGAGGGAGGGCGCGCGGGCGGGGGAGGGGAGGGGACGGGAGGGGACTGGAGGGGCGGGTCGCAGCGCGCGAGGGCGAGCGCCCCTTCACCGCCGGTGACGTAGACCCGGGGAGCTGCGGCCTGCCCCGCGGAGGGCAACACTGTCTTCTCCCACCAGGCTCCTGGCCATATTGTTCTCCTTCTCCTCGTGATAACTCCGCAGTGGAGGTGGATTCCGTCCAAGACGCCCAACGTGGCTCCGCTCGGCAATCGGCGCTGCAATCCCGGCGGTTACCTCCGCGGCGGCGTCTCCCCCTGCGCCCCTCTCCCGCCGCCCTGGCAGCCTGCGGCCCTCCCCAACTTAGGGCGTTTACAAAAGAAACGACTCCGGACGCGCTGCAAAGGGAGGCGCCTGTGCCCGAACGCTGGCGATCGGACGCGGGGCCATTCTGCACGTGTGATGTTTCTGGGTGTGTGTGTGTGTCCGTGTGTCGGGCTGGGGGGGAGGAGTCAGCCGCAAAGACAGGCGAGAACCTCTGCGAGGAAGGATCCGCGAGTCCTAAAATGAAAGCTCCGGGTGACTAAGGATCTGCGCTGATTCGGAGAGCAGGCGTGTTAAAGGTCACGGACAATTGTTGCTGGCTTCAGCATGAATGTCGAAGTGGGATGTATTCTTTAACCATCACATTTGAGCCTGAGTCACCGAAAAGTATTGACGTGCCCACCATTCATTTCGGTTCACTGTGAAAATTCGCAGAGTATCCCCAAATTCAATTAATTACATAGGTGTAAGTGGCTTGATACACATATTATTATGTCTGTGTAGGTAACAACAAAGGTTAAAATTTGAAGGCTTGATACTTTAATAGCTCTTTGGTAGGATTTTGGAATGGATGTGAGTCCGTGCTATAAACCTACATTCATCGGCATTCTTGGGTCTATTTAAAAGTACAATCTCACACTAATTATTTCCATGTGTTGAAAATGGACAAGGTAGATCATTGAATAGTGAGCAAGACTTCCAAACCTCTCACATAAAACTGTAAAATGTTCATGACTTGCCTCTTTTCTCTAGCCGGCTTAGGGCCCTGTCTGAAGTCCCACGTGTGATTTCACTCAGGGCATTGTCTGTCTACAATAATATTGTGCTTTTAAACGATTTCCTTTCTTACACATTTCTCTACAATGCATGCGAAATCTGAGAATGTAATTTGATGGGTGGGCAGGAGTTAAGTCCTGGTGTCTGGTGTGGCAGGCCTAGAAAATGGCAGCTGGAGGGCCAGCTTCATTTCGTTACTGACGATCGAAACGTGTTCACGTTGATTGCACACTAGTCACTGGCAATTGTCCATGTGTCAATGTGCTATTCCAAGCTCCCTCCACACACAAAAAAAAGCATAACAATCAAATGTTTAATACAAGTTTCCATACTGTTCCTGTAAGCGCATTTAGCATTGCCAACATTTCAACTGTTTTAATAGCTTCAAACACTTAAAGCAACCATGAGGGATTAAGGACACTGGTTGTATACATAATATAAACCCCTGGAATGGCCCAGGAGAGCTTCTCCTATTTTGAAATGTTTGAGTAAATTATAATATTTGGATGGAGCAAAGTCAGTAGTATGAATGGTTGAATGTTAATGGTTGATTTGGGCTACTTGTTTTCTTGTAGTGATGTGTGATATTTTACACAAGTATGGGGTACGTGTATTTGTTACTTACAAACATAGAGTGTGTAATCAGGGTACTCATCCCCTGGGGTATTTATTGTTTCTATGCCTTGGGAACATTTCAAGTCCTCTCTTGTAGCTACTTTGAAATACATAATACACTGTTATTAACTGTAGTCGTTCTAATCTGCTATCAGATATTAGAACTTATTCCTTCTAACTGGGTGTTCATACCCATTCAGTAACATCTCCTCATTTCCCCCTCCCACCCTCTGTTTATAACTTTATAACAAGCAATAATTTGGTTAATGAAATAAATGAGGGAAAAACATTTTCCCTTGCTATTATGTAATGAATTATTTGTTCAGCCTTTGGGACTCCACTCCTTTCAATGTTTGATGAAATGGTGTTCAATGGTTATGGAGTGACTGAGGACATTTAGACTAGAAAGGTTCTTGAGGACTTCCATTAAAAAAAAATAGTTCGGAGTAAAAACCAGAAAGAACCCCCGCCGCCCCCCCTCCCCCGCCAAAAAATAGGCCTTGAGTGCCTGAAAGCTGGAAGTGAAACTCTCTATACTATAGCATAAAATCTAAGACAAACTAAAAAATAAGTATTAAATATTCATGCTCAAAAAGGTACATGCTTTGATTGGACAGTTGGGTGTGCCACTCAGTAAATAATATTAATCCTATTTGTGTAAATGTATTAGGATTTTCTAAATTATATCTGAGAAAGAAGAATTATATTATGCAACTAAGTTAAGGAGTAATCTTTTGTTTTCTGAACCAACTTAAATTTAGAGATTTCAGAGTAGATTAGGGATAAATTGGCTTTAAATTATCAACGTGTTCCTACGTAAAGACTGCTTTAGGAGCAGTGCAGCTGTTCGCTGCCTGTGTCCTGCTTCGAATAGGTAACTATTTTGTGTATAAATGGAAATTGGCTACTGAATCACTGATGGTTTCAAAAATATTACACTAATCCTAATATGTTGGAGTTTTTTTTCCCTAAAATCTTTTCTGTTCATAGAACTAAACAATTCAGAAACTATACTGCATTTGAATACGGAGGAGGAAGAAACAGCCTGTGAGCAAGCATGTATCAGTATGAAATTTAACACAGGATAATCCCCTTCGTGGATAGTGTGGCAAAATTACGATCATTTTTTAAATAGAGTCTTTTATGAAGTGGTTTCAGACCGCTTGAATCTAAACTTACCTAATAGAATATTTTTAATTTTAATTTAGGAAACTGTCTCAGTTCTCATACACGTTTCTTACAAACACATGCGCACACACACATACGCGCACACAAAAGAAATCACCTCAAATGTGATCTTCACCCAGAGTCTCCCATGTTTGCACTGAGATAGCTTCTTACCGAGCTTTCTCCTGTAGGGTCTTTTATTTACAGGATAACTGGAAGTCAAACTGACAGTGGCTTAGGTTTAATCATGCTTCAGACTTGCACATTGCTTGAAACACTTTTGTGAAAATGTCTTCCTCCCTCTTCTGTATTCAAGTCTAAGGTGCCTTCAACATGCAATTGTGCCTAAATTTTTAGTTTGCTGAATAATCCGCAATGCATCGCCTCAAGATTGGGTGCAAAATGGATCCATATGTGTGGGACAGAGAACGTTTTACTCATTTTCACAGTGGCAGAAATCTTAAGAACTTTCCCACGGAACCGGCATGGTTAACAATCTGTCCTTGTTTTCCACACAGAAAAAAAAAAAAAAAAAAAAAAAAAAAACGCTTGCTGACCCATACACTATTGTTATTGCAACACAGATTTTTCTCTTACTGATTTTTGTGCATACATTTTGAGTAACACGAAAGATGACATTAAAAAATAACAAACTTGGATCACATAGTAAGGCTATTTCTGCAATGGAGGAGAAAGCTCTGTAGAAAACGCACTAACCGTTGAAGCAATGGCAGTCACATTTCTCACCATTTGCAGTTTTTGGTAACTCCATCAGGACTTCACAGCAGGTAGACAACCCTCGAATCTGTTCTTAATTTCAACTTAAGTAAAAGACTCTGAGCAACAGCTGGCTTCACAATCGCTGATACAGAATTCCACAGATGTGGTTGAGAATGGTTTGAAGAATAAACGGAACTAGGCCACAGAGCAGAATTCGTTTAAGAAAAGACAAATTCAATAAAGATTCCTCTTTTAAAAGATTGCCGACGTGAGGGAAGAGAGGGCCTTGTTTTTCTTATTACCTTTTCTTATAATCCTACAGTATGTTAATTACTTAACAGAAAGGTTGTGACCTGTTAGCACCACACATTCTTACAACAGCAAAACCATTGACTTTCTTTGCCCCAAGCTCATTATGGCTCACCATGCATAACTGATTACATGTGCATGTTTATGCAGACTTTCCTAACGGAACTGAAAATGAAATAAGGGAACCAGCACTATCTCCTTCACTGTGGGGAGGATAGGTACACTTATAATGAAACTGAGCATGAAGACCTTCGCGTGAGATCTCATTTGACACATACATGATACAGTTTGAAGGAAAGCCGACTTGGCATTTAGGGGGTTCGCTGGTGTAAGAAACAGAACTGTAAGAAAAGAAGTGGTCAGCCTATGAATGAGTTGTCATACTTAAGGAATAAAGACATTTTGTTGATGGACAGGCCAGCCACAATTTTGGAGGGGGGAACTTTTTAATACACGTAAAATGAAATTGACGGTTGTAGCCATTTTTAAGTGTACAATTCAGTGGTGTCAGGCACATTCACAATGTCGTACGGCTGTCTCCACTCTCCATCTCCACAGCTTTTCCATCATTCCAAATAGAAACTCAGTCCCCCTAAACAACACCTCCTCATTGGTCCTCCCCCAGGGCCTGGCATCCAGCATTCTGCTTTCTGTCTCTATGAATTTGCTTACTCCAGGAGCCTCGTACAAGTAGAATCATACAGTATTTGTCCTTTTGCAATTGGCTTAGTAGAGTTTCACTTAGTATAATGTCCACAAGCTCATCCATGTTGTAGCATGTAGCTGGGTATAATTCTGCCTATCTTAAAGACACATAGATTGTAAATGCAGGAGAGAACTTTTAGAAGAAACTGATTAATGCAGTGACTATAATTTCATCAAAAACTATTCTCAAGAATTTTTCATCCGGGCATGGTGGCTCACGCCCGTAATCCCAGCACCCTGGGAGGCTAAAGCAGGCAGATCACCTGAGGTCAGGAGTTCGAGACCAGCCTCGTCAACATGGTGAAACCTGTCTCTACTAAAAATACAAAAATTAGCCAGACATGGTGGTGGGCGCCTCTAATCCCAGCTACTCGGGAGGCTGAGACGAAAGAATCGCTTGAACCCGGGAGGCGGAGGTTGCAATGAGCAGAGTCGTGCCACTGTACTCCAGCCTGGGCGACAAAGAATGAAACTCCATCTCAGAAAAAAAAAAAAAAAAAAAAAGAACTTTTTTTCCTGTTACCTAAAATGATTGATTTCCTTATTTGGCTGTCTGTGTCTTCGCTCACCTTGTAAGCTGCAAAAGAAATATGACAGAAAGCCTTACCTCCTTCCTAAATGGAAACTGTAACAACATGAAGCCACCCTATGGCCAAATTTGTGTTAAATTCTTTCTTGTTAGTATTTACAGAGCCTATTTACTACTTATAAGCAGATGACTAAAAAAAAAAAAAGAAAGAAAGGAGGAAAGATGTAACACTAAGGCATACTTAAAATCAGAAAATTAAAATTACAACCAATATAAAGCAACAGAGAGGTTGCTATATCAGGCACTTGAGATGGGTTGATCATACGGCCACGTACTAAGGTACCCCAAGCTTCCTGGTCCCAAGGCAGAAGCTTTGGTTAAGAGAATTGACCTTTCTGGGTGCTGAGCTAGGACACAGGCGTGGGTTTCTGTCATGATTGAAGCATTCCATTTCAGAATGGACAGAGGTGTTTTAGTGGGCCCCATACAGATGTTAAACCAATGGCATTACGTTAAACTTGGGGACCAAAATGTAATTTTTGTAAAAAGACAAATAGTTTGATCTCGCTAATTGAGTGAGTAAATTGTATAGATTCTCAGACTTTTGTGCACTTGTGTTTTTCGTGGCGGCATGATGGTAAGTGACAAGAGGAAAATGTGGGGAAGCGATACAAGATGGGGGAAACATTGTATACATTGAAAATCTAAGAAAAATTTCAGGCAGGTAGCCATCATTTTAACAGTGACAAAAGTTTAAGAAACTTCTAAATCTTCATTTTTCACATCTGTGCAACTATTTATTCCACGTTTGCTACGTAAGCCAGGCGCTAGACCTAGTGCTCATTTTAAAAAGCAGTATGTATTACATGCTTATTATGTAGGGAGTCTTCTTAAGGACTTACATTTTATGTCACTTAATATATCACAGTAACCCAAGAGGTAGGTGCCACTGTTGTCCCATTTGGCAGATACTAAAGGAGAGACCGAGAGTTCACAGCGCCCCCCCCCCCCCCCCGCCCCCCCACAGAGCTGGCACGTGTCAGCCATGGGTTTAGAAACAGCCTTGACCACACGCCAATTCATACATCCACCTACACTGAGCTGTACGTGGCTGAAACGCCACAGCCCTGGCTATTTTAAAGATAATTTTATAGATGGACAGAGCCAAATATGTGTTTTCTCATGTGTTTAGGGACTTGTCACACACTGTCACGTCCGGTTCTCATTCTGCCGACTGGTCATTTGCGCTTGCGTGAGCTGCGCAACTTCTGTTCCTATGTCATCAGGGGCTTTGACGTTTGCCACTTATCACGCGGTGTTGTTCGTCTTCCACGAACATAATACGTGTTACATATTTGTGCAAGAATACCTACTAACTAGCTGGTGGAGACAGAATCTCCATGAAAATGTTTCATGTAGTTTCTCAAAGGGGTTGAACTGGCTTTTAAAAATAGTATACAAAATACGAAAGAATAGCATAAGCAGTGGGAGGAATGAGGTTGGGAATCGTAAGAGTGGAAAAACAGAAAAATTAGAATCCATTTCAGCTCAATCAGTCTTAACACCAGAACACATGGATATACGTCTAGTCATCCTTCGAATCGTCAGAAGTGGCAGAATTTTCCCCTGAGCTTCCGAGTATCCAAAGCAAAGAGGGAAGCACTCTCTTTACAAGATTTGTGCTGTCTGTGAATTGACAGTGTAGCGGACTCTGTTCACAACAGTGTCACCAAACAAATACGTTCTCGCAGTGTGCCTCCTAATGATTTAGAGACAAAAACGATCAACCTACAGTCGAATGAGAATTTATAGCAATTCCTTCATCTGCAAAGTGAGAATCACACAGAGTTATTCTGAATGAGAACAATTTAAATGTGAAATCACTTAAAACTGTTTTGGAGTACACAAGTATGAGCAATGTAAGTTATTTTCTCCATAGCACAGCCCGCCCCCCACCCACACATAGTAGTTGATGTCATCAATATTACAAAACCATATGTTAATTTAAGATGTTTTAAACTATCTGAAGGCATACAAAAGTTATCTCCAATTGTGTTGACACTCTTGAAATGGAAGTCATTTCTAGAACCATTCCTTTCTCCCACAGATTCTTAAATTCTGTTTGTTTTCACAGGGTCCTTGGTATGGTCATGCCTAGCAGAATCTGAGATTCATGCCTCAAAGTGCAAATGTTTACAAACTGTTTTCACTCAAGACCCAGCCAGGCTCTTCCCCTGTGACTGCACCTGCCTCTTGCTCCCAAGGCGCCCTGTCCACTCTGAGAAGGGCCCCTGTAGGGCAGCACTTGGGTTTCAACAGGCAGGCATGAGCCCAGAGGCTTCCTGGTGCAGAACTTGTCAGCATTTGCTTTTCCCTGTTAAATTCCAAAGCTGACCAGCCCCTCGCCTCTGTCAGAGGGAGGGAGGCCTCTCCACAGGCTCCTTGGTGTGCAGAAACTTCTGGGGTGTGGACTTGAAGGCATGTGAGCAAGATGCAGCATGTGCAAGGCCTGGACGGCCACT